ATGTTTATTCCCCAAGTTAAACATAGCACTTGAAATATTATTAGCTTGTATGCCTCAGTGCTAAGTATTCTGTTAATACAATGAATTACCTACCAAAGACACTGCTAAAGTTCCCTGCTAATTAAGTAAAAACAAGATCAAGATTAATAGTATCATTTAAAGCTCCAGGAGTTTGTTGAGCTCAGTTGCAAAAGGAATTTTGGAATGTTTCTACTGATTTACCTTAAACACACAAACATGAACAATGAAATTGGTGGCAGCTGTAAGAAAACCTGGCAATTTTTCTGTTTCAATCCCTTGTCTTTGACAAGCCAATTTTCACAGAACTGTCATTAACATATTTTACTTTTTATCTCCATCCCTTAAAAATGTTACATTTACAGTTCATGGCATGAGCAGCTTCATACAGGTAACTATTCCTAGAACTTCCATTAAGTACTACTCCATCTGAACAGCAAAAGCCTCACAAGAAGTTCAGCATAAAAGCAACCCATTACAGAGGAAACACCTTTCCTAGTTCTTAAAGAGAAGGGATTTTTTCTTCAATTTAAAAGCTGCAGAATAAACAACTGCAGTTATGTATTTACTGAACATAAGCACTGAAAGGTAAAAAAGTTATTTATGTACAATCATTTACAATGTGCATTACTAATGTCTTCAAAAACATCCAGAGTCAAAAATATTTTTTTAAATATCCTGGTTTCAGCTCTGGTTTCTCAGAATCCTGTTACCAAATCATTTTAGTTTACCTAAACAGCCTTTCCAGTCATTGTGCACCAACATGAAAAAAATTAACTCACAGATCTTTATGAGAAGGTTATGCTCCACAAAGAGATCAGAATCAAACAAGATTATGATAGAAAATACAAATAAACTTTAAAAATATTTTTCAGAAAAGCTAAAGGAAAACACTAGTAGTAGTTCAAGCAGTAGCAGAAGGCCTGTAGTTCCAACAGTACAACTTCAACATATTAGTGTCAGCTGGTGTCAAAAAGGTCAGAAACTTAAACATCTAACATAAAAAAAGAACTTCTTAGAAAAGCTTAGATATTTCCTGACCTGGAACTTTACGGGCTGTCCTCCCTTGCTACAAATTCTAATCTAGGAGATGGGATCCTTCCCTCAATGTTTACAGACTGCTGTTCTGCCATACTGTTCAAACTAGTTTAGGAAAAAAAAATAAATCTTGTATATTTAAATACAAATGCTTATCTGAAATTCCACAATTCCACAATGACATGAATCAAATTATGTTCAGGAGATACAATGGTTCTGAATTAAGTGAGAACTCACACAGGAGTCACTCTCATCGCAGTCTAACTTCCTTTTAAGGCTGCTCTATGCAAAAGACACAGAAGGCACCTAAGACAGTAACTTCACTTGCAGTGAATGTTAATACAATACATTGCCAGTCTCCTCTTACCTGTACAGTCTTGAAGGTGGATATTGATGACACAACTGCTTAGGAAATGCCCAAGGATGGGGCCTTGGATTTTGAGCCATGTCCAACACAGTAGGCTTTTCCTTAATTTCATATTGTTTATAAAATTACGAGCGGTTCAAATAATCAATAAGAATGTAAATCAAATGTTTGCCCACCAATTTCACATATTTCTTTCACAAAAAAATATTACAGGATTCATATGTAATACTCCCTATAGGGTAGAGAAACCATTCCTTTTTCATGCCTTTCACTAAGAAAAAATTAGAGTATTCATAAAAGCATTAAAGTACTACAGTATTCTGACTGAATGGCAGCTGAATACAAATAACCACTAATGGAACAGTTACCATGATAAAAGGGTAGGAAGTTAGTTTTTAAAAACTCATCTTCAGGCTCACCCATAATGACACAGCCCTCACTTCTACCAAAAACACACACTTCCATAAAAAGTTAAGTTTGTTTTATAACTTAAGCATTTTGGTTTAGGTTAATGTTTCTATAGTACAGATTTAGAAAGAAATGAGGCTGTGATTGACAAGGTGTTGCTCTAAGTTCAGGCCTGCTAGGGCACTACTAGTGACAACTGGTTTTTGGATTGTGTATACTTTTACCAATGAAGTTGAGAGGATTACAAAGACAAACTGCCTCTTTCTTCTGATGATCTCTGTATCTGCTTGAAAAAATATCATGGGATCAGATACTGGAAATATCAAGGTCGAAACCAGAATAGGTTTCTATATAAGCCAGAAAACAATGGCCAGGTCTGATAAAATCATGACACTTCCCAACTCTAAGAATGAAAGGGCATTAGCCCTAAAGGGCATATCAGTTTTAAGAGCTACAGAATAGGCCGATTCCTACAATGTGTCTCATTTACACAGAACTTAATAAGTGATCACAGATCTCTTAAGCCCTAGAAAATCTGAGAAAGACTCCTCACTACTATGCCTTGGCTAGAGCAAAATAAACTCTATTCACAGAAGTTTTAAATTCTTCTAAAGAGAAAGTAATAGCAGAACTGAAGCATAAGGAGGACATCAATTCAGACATAAAGAACATTTGAACTCACTGGGTTTCAGGAGGTGGTGACAGAAAAATTAACACACGAGTTTCCATTTGAGATCTAATTACTTCTGAGTTTACAATCTGAACTTGTAAACTGTGCAAGTCTGGAAAAAGTACTTCCAGATCCACAATAAGCCAGACAGCTACAGGAGGATATATTCAAAAATAATACTGAACTGTGGATTTATCCTACTCTACAGGGTTTTTTATGTTATTTAAAAAAGGCAGGTAGAAATTAAATTTGAATACAATAACAAGAAACTGTTTTTAAAAAAAAAAATCTCCAAACAAAGTAGCCCCCTTTCCACTGACCTCTATGGAGAATTATTTGAACTATAGGACTGCATTCAGAGTGTGGGTTTTTGTTTGTTTGCGACTATTTTTCCACCAACCTCCTTTATGTATTACACAACTTATATGAAACCTTTTACAAGTCAACTGCTACTACAGGAGCCAGGTCACTGCTCTGACCACTGCTGGTTGCTAATGAGATCATTTCTTGAGAAGTCACTCATGGTTCTGGATGCAAAAACAAAAAAAACCCAAAACAAACAAAACACACACAAAAAAAGGAACACACACAAAAACCCAAAACACCCATATAACAAAGAAACTCACAAGAATAAAACCCAGACCCTAAATCAGCTTAAAATGGGTGGAAATAAAAACAAGATGGGAATGAACATCTGTATTTGTTAAATACATCAAACTCCCAAGTTAACCTCATGGGATCAAAACAGCCTTTTCCATTTTAAGAACTTTTCACAAAGAGAAGAATTTCTATGTAAAGGCTGCTTAGAGAAGTTTCTGCACTTTTTCTTCTGAAAACTCAAAATTATAATAATTCTTATTTCAATTATTTTCCTTTAGCCTTTTTTACGTTTGATAAATTAACTTGCATTTAGTTTTCCTGAACTAAAAGTTTTTCTGAAAATATATGTGGAAAATTATGTAATATTTGGAACTTTGTCCTGGTAACAGTGCTCTCCCTCCCCCTCCCACTGCCCAAATCCAAACTCTTACACATACAACTTGAACTCCTTTTCATTCTAGCTTCTCATTTAAGTTAAGAAAATTGCTGAAGCACTAATTAATATCCAGGACTGCAGAGGACATCAAGAAAATGAAAACAAGAGGGACCTCTTTCAGAACCAGAAGAAAGTAAGAAAAACAAATGTTCTGGTGGTTCAAAATGGCTATGAATGCACTACACTGTACTTTTGATCTATTCCAAAGTATCATCACCTTTTCACCTCTGGTTACAGAACTGCCAATGGAAGTGGTTCTCTTCCTCCTCCCAACACTGCACTGTGTTTAGCAACTCTGCAATCACATGACTGATCCATGTGCAAGCACATGACTGCTCCATGGGAAAACATCATTTTGTTAGTATAGTTAAATGCTGGATTAGCTTATTCTGCAAGTTTATTAGCACTCCAACAGAAGAGAGCGTAGCAGAAACATGTGAAGTTGGGTGGGGTTTTTTTTCTGCTTGTGCTAAGGATGCAGGATGAGAAAGCATAGAGCTACCCATTCTGGCAACAGCTGCCACCACAGCACCCTAAATATAACAGGAAATTGCATCCTGAATCCCAAACTATTACTAATAGATTAAATGGAAAGAGTCTGCTACTAAAATCAGTGATTATAGTGCTCAGCACATAAATACAGAAAATCAGGCACAGTAAAGCAGTGAACCAGGCAACTAATTGGAAAGCCCAGCAACCCTCTGATACCATGAATCAATTCCTCCACATCTCTAAGGAAAAAGAAAACAACAAACCAAACACAAAAAAAACAACTGACAAAATGAAAAAAAAAAAGCAAGACCTCTAAAATAAGCTTTCCAAGGGAATTCAATGCACATTCAACATACAGGAGCATCAACTGCAAAAGAAGACATTTTAGTAAGTGCCAATTAATGAAAAACCTATCTTACATCACCAGAAATTTGATTAAAGAATAACCACACTCACTTTGCACTGACATTCTACCACTGCGATCTCAAACTGTAGGAGCAAAGTGAAGCTTCCTGCTTTAGCAGTCAATCAGAACAGAGGAAAACTCTGTTCTCCTGAATCCATACCGTATTATGAAACTGGCACAGTGTTCTTCCCTGTAATGCCCGGACTTGCAGACGTCTAAGTGTGAAAAAGTTGATGCCACAGAGGAGTTAAGCTGTTTACCTTTGCTTGGCACTTGGGATTCCTTACTTTAAAAGCAGCTGTACAAGACAAGGGTAATTTTTCATCCCATCACTCACCAACAATTTAGTGCGGAGATATCTCAAAGTTGCCTACTGTTTTACGGGATTATTCTTCTCAGATACCCAAAGTTTGTGAATATATATAAGGTCACTATAGTCTAATACATGCCAACAGTTTATCCCTCTATAGCACAACAGATTCTTGTTTCAGTGTTCTCCCCTTGTAAAAAGGAAATGAGTCCAAGTATAAATTATAGATTTCTCCTTTGAAAGGGCATCACTTACCAGTAACTACCATGCTGCTCATGTTAGAGTTCGGGCTATTGAGTACACTGCCTGAAAGAAGTTCGTCAGATCCTCTCTAAAAAGAAAGAGACAGTAAGAGATTTTTTTTCCTCTATTTTGTGATTTTTAAAGATGATACTTCCTCTTTTCAGATAAGTGCAACAACTTGAAATCTAAGTAAAACGGTATATTTACATGGCAATCTGAAATGAGAGCAGCTTAAGCACAGCTGTTTAACCCACCACTGACATGAAGCCATCTCTGGACACAATGAGAACTGCTGAACAATAATTTTGTCCAGCATTTCAAACTAAAATATTATTATGATTAAATATAGTCTATTTCAATAACATTTAAATTAACTCATAGTTTTATACTTTAATACACATATATATTAAATTATTATATCTAGCTGAAACTACAAGGGAAATCTATACAAATAGAAATATGGAGTTTAGCTCAATTCTGACACCCCTATTAAAAAAAAAAAAAAGACTTGTCTTCACAGAAAATGATCAATTTTCATTTTGGGGACATCCATTTGTTCTGCAAAACACAATTTAGGGCAGAGAATTACATCTTCATTGTAATTCTTAAAACATGACAAATATCAATTAATGAATGACTTGAAAGTGGGCTGCAAAAATCAGAGCAGGGTTTATACTGAAAACACACAATCCTTTCTTCTCAAATTCTTTGTAAGATGGGGATTTGATGTAACTGAAGAAACTTATGTTTTTCACACCTTTTTCTTTCCTTTTTTTTTCTTTTACCACCCATCCCCCTTCATCCCTCAAGACTTAAACCTCCCAAAAAGCCTACAAAATTTTTACATGATCTTTCAATAAAAAAAGATTTTAAAGCATCCTTTGAATATTATCTTTAATTTCTTATAGGTTCTATCCCCACTTAAAAAGTATTTCCACAGCACCCTTAAGACTAATCCAGATCACAGCTAAAATGGAAATGATGAAAAAACAAGTTACTACCTGTCTTTATAAAAATAAATATTTTCACCTCTGTTGTGGACACTACAACAGAATCATGACTAGTTAGTGAACATGCTTTACAGAGCACCTCAATAATGCATAATAAATTCATCTGAGGCTATCACCTTTCTAGACAGCACAACTGAAAGACGTATAAAAAACAAACCTTTACCATTTTATCATATTGCACTGTGTGTCCACACACAGAACAGTATGTTAAAAGTTTATATAGGTATATGCACACATAGAGCTATTAAAATTTATGCAGTTTTCAACATCAGAATCTTTATACAACTTATTGAATGCTCTAAGCTCTTAAGGGTACATAGCAAGTAACAAAGCCGTGCCTATAAGATCAGCAACAGAGTTCCTTTAAAATTGCATCATGCCTAATACCAAGATTAGGAAGGACCATCAGAAGGACTAAGTCTTGTCCTTTTCAATATAAAGATGCATTTTTAATCAGATATAACCAAAGAAAAATTTAGCTAGACAAAGCTGAGAAACAAGATAGAGAAGTTATGGAAACTCTGTTATTTAAACCACATTGCTTTCTACTATAAATACAATAACAGAGGCACCCAGTGTGAGCTGAAACAGACATTCCTTCTTTCTCTTTAATGTTCTATTTTCTAACGTAATATTGACAAGGGTAGAACGTTGCAGAGTTCAAGATTACTAACAGCACTAGCTTACTCAGTGATAACAGCAGTTTTTTCTGCTTGCAGCTACCCACCCAGCCTTGCCCGCGAGCCCCTGTCTGCAGCCTGGACAGCTCAACTCAAGAGGCAGAAGTAGCAGCAGAGACTGAATCCGTTCACAGTCAAGCTGATTAACATAATTCAGCAGCATTTTTTTCCCCTCAATATGACAGACGTTAATTTGCAATGGTACAGCAGTTACTACATAAACAGCTGAAGCAACCCCAGTACCAAATGAATGCTCTTCCCAGAACATGCAGGAACTTTTCAATTCTGAAATATCTCAAATTTGAGTTGTCTTCAGCTTCAGAAAGTTACTTACAAGAGCAACTGCTGAATGAAAGAACGCAAGTGTGACTGCATAAACTTCTGGCTCCTAGTAAATCAGGCTTTCAAAAAGCACAAATTACTCAATAGAGTGGATATTCAGTTACTGTATTTGTGTTTCATGAACAGTTCTCTCTTCATTTTGAAACATATCATTTTACATTTCATGAATACCTTCATAGTCAATCACAAGATTTTAGCATTGCACTTGAAAGTTTTAACATTTTTGCTTCAGAAGAATAAATAAATATGAATTTCTTACACTGGCCTGTATCGTAATTCTACACTTGTCTTATCCGCATAAATTAGTGTTCAAAAGTCTAATTCACAAATGAACAGGTTCATATGTGGAATGTTCTTCCAGTCCCCCATGAAATCACAAATGTATAGCAACCCTCTGCTAACTCACTCCCATACATATTTGCCAAGCTTTTGGTCAAAGATCTCTCTCACCGTGTGAGTAATCATCTTTACTAGATATACATGCCTGTTTTTCCTAGTTGGTTCTTAAGCAGCCTAGACAGCTCTATACTTCATTCAACGTGTAACTTTAAAACCAGCTATGCAGTAAAAGACACATGATGTACTTGGACACAGAATGATTAAATTACAAAATCAAAAGCAGTAACTGCCTGGTAATTGTGATTTACTTCAAAAGGTTATCTGAAGATGCATGTTTTCTAATAAAGCAATTTAATATAAGCATCCCAAGTGTGTGCTCTTAGACTGGCACTACTACGTGACACAAGCATTACCTGAATTACATAGACATAAATACTTATTTTACTTACATTTATTCAGCAGAGATGAGATTTTATTCAATTTGTTGTTTGGGGTGTTTGGGTTTGGTTTTATGTGCATCTTCTCTCAGAGGGTGCTAAGACACAAAGGACTGGCCTCTTGCTCCAAGAGCAAAGCTTTTTGTAATTCTGCTATGTCACAGACATAACTCTGCTACAAATTTCAAGAACTATAACTAATTTTCCAAGCATCCTGAATATTTAATTAGTCTTATTTTCAAGCACAGCAGTTCTGCTAGTTAAATCATGCAAAACAAAGGAACCTTTAAACTAAATTAGGTAATTGTATTAAGTGTTTCAGAGGTACGGAAACTAAAGTCAGATCTTCTAAGAGCATAGCGAATCAGATTCAAGAAGAATGGAAGATCCAAGAGCAATGTTCACTTCAGTTTTTTCCCCATCTGTGCAAACTGCTGAGTTTAAAGAATCAAAGAAAGCTTGAGATTGTGTAACGATACTGAAGATCACAAACACATAGATGGCAGAAACATTCACATCCAAGTTAAAATAACAAACAAACAAAACCCACCACAATGATTTTATTTCATCACAGACTGCAAAGAAACATTACTGTAATAGCAACATGATGGAGACTAATTGAATATCCATTTTAGCATGAGGCAAGGAGATTATGAAGGACAAAATAAGAAGTACAAACTGCTATTATACTATTAATAGGTCATCTTCTGACATGTAGTCCTCAACAGCACAAGTTTTCACTGCCTTGTTTCTATTCCTACGAATGTCAAGAAGATTAATCTACATTAATCTTCCATAAAAGCTAACCACTAACTACTCATATCAGAGATATTTAGAACATTTTTTTATGAAATCAGCATCTGCAAAAATACTAGTACAAAAAAAAACAAACTCAAGGGAATTGCCAAACTAACATCTTGCAGTGAGTGAACCTTGAATTTACTGCAGTCAATACTGTCCTTTCAACGAAGCTCATGTTATCACACCCTTGCCCCCATGAGAGCATTTCCATCCGTGGTGTGGAAACATCATGTTAATGTATGGCTTCAATCATTGGAATTATGTAAAACTGACATGTAGGACCCACTTTCAAAAAAGATTAAAAATATACCAGCTCAGACTTTTCATACATAATTAAAATTCAAAATTATATACACAAAAATTATTTTATATACTGAAAATTGAAGATACCACTTCGATATTTTAGTTGATTTCCCTAAATGAATAGTTATTGTATATGCTGTCACTTCTAGAATTTACAAAATCAACTATACAAAGAAAAAGAAGCCCCTAGCTTAGCAAATTATTCTTCTAGCTCCTTGCTTTAATAGTCACAGCTAACTCAAAATCCCTCACTACACAAGCTGGATTTACATAGAAAGATTTCAGATTTTGCCCCCCCCAGAACAGACCACTATAAAGCTTCATGCTATCACAGGTTATATTAAGTAGCTGTGTAATTTCAGGAAGTCATTACAGACATACTATCCTTCCAGACTAATCAAAATTATACTACATAGAAGTCTTCGCCAACTATTGCCAGATAGGGCTTTAAATATTTCAAACATTGCCCAGATTTTATTACATCCAAGGTACAACCAGGGAGTAACAACTTTGGCTTGGGAGTTACTAAAGCGATTTAGTCTTTTATGCATGCAAGTATTTTTTGAAAACTGTTTATGTCCAAGAAACATGAGTTATTTTCCCAATAATTCAGGGCTATGGAGACTGATCAGCAGTTATGGCTGAACCTAACACAGCAGTGTATTACAGAAGGCATATTACAAATGTGTGTAGAAGCACTACAATACTCCAAGAACACTAAACCAATAGTACTAGAAACAGTAAAAAAGTGACAAAACCGCACTTTGTTAAAAAGTCAACAGTATCATCTAAAATAAATTCTTAAATTTGCACTGGAAAATATAAAGACGACACTCAAAGATATTGAAAAATACATTTTCTGATAAATCCTCTCATTTGTGGTATTCAAATTTGTTGATATTAAAAACCTTTCTCAAAAAACATGATGCTTCTGCCCTCCCCATTTCCCTCTCTCCCCCCTTCTCCCCCAGCTGAAAGAAAAATAGGAGAACTTTAGTTGCACTGCACATTTACCACAGTCATTCTCAGCCTACAGGCACGAATTTCCCAAGGGGTATGACAAGCCAGGAGACAGATCTCATGATTTAAGGAAATCCAACAGCATTGTAAAACACTTCATTTCTAACAACATCTGGGAACAATTTAAGAGCGAGCCAGAAACCTGATAGTATGGGA